CAGACGGGTTCAGGGAAGGGGCCCCAGGAAACCACTCCAGGCTGAAGATCCGAGAGGGCGAGCTAAGAGCGGAGGGCGTTGCTCTCCCGAAGGGGACCTGCTGCAGCGGAGTCGCCCGGTGGGAGACGGCTGGGCTTGCCCCAGAACCGGCCGCGCGGCCGGGGCCGCTGGGCTCGCAGGCGGGGCGGGGGCTGCGGGAGCCCTGGCCGTGGGAACGGGGGTCCCAGGGCCAGGCTTCAGTTCCGAAAAGATCTTTCTGGCCCTAGTGCAGAAGCGGGTGTGGAGGGGAGTTAGACGTCGCCAGTGACGGAGTGGACGCGGTGGCGCCTGCAGCCCCAGCCATTTAGGAGGGTCGCTTGAGCCCAGGAGCTCAAGTCCGACCGGGTAACATCGCAAAACCCCATCTTTAAGAAAAATGAAATGAAAGTCTAGGGTGAGACATCAAGCAAGACACATGGTGGAAGTGGAGATGTTACAAGTTTATGTATAGCTTGGTTTGCATGTTAAATAATATACTCTGATGAGGAAAGGAGGTTGTGTTTTCACTTAAAACTTGAAAATTTAAAACTTAAGAAAATTGCACCCAGACTTTGTTTGACCCTTTATTATAAGCTTTGTTTTCTTAAGTTTCATAACTTTGTGTTAAATGAGTTTTAAATTATATGAATATTGCATTTGATATCACATTAGCTCCATTTTACTTATTCTATGAGTAAACTGCTTTCTACATAAATTCTGTATTGACCTTAGGGATGTACAACTTTAAACAATGCATATTAAAATAGAAGAAGAGTGTTTAACCCGTGTAAATTTGTCTTTCTCTTTTCCTCATGAAAACTTGCAGATGCCTCTTACATATACGTAACTTTCCAAGTTGGTAGAAAACAGCAACAATCACTTACAAAAATGTCAGGAAGATGTTTAAACAGGTATTGATGCTATATAAAGCCAAATGATTTCCTTAAAGGTGAGTGTCTGTAGTTTACATGGATGTTTGAGATGTTAAATGGCAGCCTATAAAGGAGATGATCAGCTTAGAACTTTATTTCGGAAGAAGTTAGTGTATTTTTTACAGTCTCAAAGTTTTCATTTTAGTTAATAATTAATTGAAGCTTTCTTTTCTATTAATACTTAATTTCTTTAAAATACTGGGTTTATAATCTGTGTTCTATGTTGCTGATGAGGATTCAAATCTGTTTGGTGTACTTCAACTCAAATATCTACTGTAGTTTCTACTAAAATTACAATTACAGCTAAGATGCTTTGAGAATCAAATGGGACTATTATGATTTTAAACCACCAAGCATACTGAATTTAAATGATTC